TTCGGGGTACTGTGCAGAATGTTATTTTCAGGCGTTCTCGAAAATTTGCTGCTTCGGATTTGGATTGTTTTGGTCTTTTGACCCCATTTCCTGGAGCTGTCGGGCGACCTGCTGCACCGCTAAATAAAGGTATGTCGTATGTATACGTATACATCCACAAACATACACACATGCTTACATGCATACATGCAATCACACCGAGGTAACATAGGAGTCTTGGTTCAATTGCCACTATCTCCTGTGGACTACAGGCCAGCTCAGAAGCCCCAAAACCAACCAATGTAACATCCTTGAGGCACCCCATAGAATCGTATCAAGTCCTAAAACCGAAAAACCTATGTAATACCATTCTAGCACCTATAGACTTACAGAGCCGTTAAACGCCCCAAGCCTGAAACGGCAAGCACTGGATGATAAAGCACTTACACTGCACTACCCTGAACTCGAAACTCTGGACCCTAAACCCGGACCACTACCTTCTCAAAGCCTTCTAGGAACCCTTATAGAAACCTGAAAGGGACCCCGATAGAACTCTAAGCCCTGAAGCGCGGAAGCCCCGATGAGCAGGTCGAATCTTTCCTAGAGCTGCTGGTGGTCGACTCAGAGTTTGGGTTTAGGGCTGTTTAGGGCTTAGGGGGTTTAGGGCTGTTTAGGGCTGTTTAGGGCTTAGGGATGTTTAGGGCTTAGTGGGTCCTGTAACTGTAGCCGAATTGAAGCCCTGTCTTTGTAGGGCTCCTTATTATGGTTTCCCTATTTTATATATATATACACACATACATACATACATACATACATACATACCTACCTGTATATATATATATATGTACGTATGTAGATGTGTATGTACATAGAACTCTGAAAGGTGGGTTCAGGGCTTGGGGCTGTAAATATCAGACAAGGGGCTTGAAGAATCAAAACACGGCTTCTTTGAAGGGTCCTTTAAGGGATCTAAATAAGGTGTTGTTAAGGGCTTCGTTTAGGGATAATTATGGCTTGTAGGACTTAGCACAGGGTCCTTGCCCGAAGCCATGCACGTAGCACCCGAAACCAAGTCTTAAAAACCCAAAACCCCAAAATCAGGCTTTAGGGTTCAAGGTGTTGGGTTTGTTTAGTCTTTGAGGCTGGCGGCCCCTGCTCAAGAAAAATGTTTAAGGCTAAAAGGGTTTCTCGTTTCTCTCTCTCAGACCCACGGGCACTAAAGTGCCGGAAGTCCAAACCACAAAGACAACCCTGGCTTCTTATAAGGTTGGCCTTGTGTGCCCTTAGATTCTAGCCTTAGCTCACTAAGGTTAAAGGTTGGCTCTGGAACCCTAGGAGTTTAGCTGGGGCAGGATTTAGGGCGCGAGGTTTTTAAACCCTAGATCCTAAAACCAACTCCTCTATGTGTCATGCGCTTCCGATTATTCAGACATCAGGCTGAGGCTGTTTTTTTTGAAAGGATTCAGGGTCGCAGCCTTCTGGCGAAGAAGGTTCCCGGCTTTACGTAGGCGTTCTGGGTGTGGATTTGGAGTGGGTGTGGGCTTGAACGCATGTCAGAAATTCTGCAATTGGTGGTTTAAGGCTGTGGACTTTGGTCAGGGTTAACGGTTTATGGCGTTGCTGTTATGGTTGTCTTGGTTTTTTGCTAGGGTAGTCCGAACACGAAGAAAGCAATAGTCTTTTAGAGCTTAAGCTCAAGAGTTGCATATCTTATCTGATTCAACTGCATCCTACCCGATTCGGATTTCTAGTGGTTCGTTTGTCATTTCACGTGTCTAAGACTGCAGCCGAGCTAAGGCAGATAAAGGTGGGGTATGTGGGTGCCCGGCCGAGGAGCTTTAGGTGGGTTTAGGCTTCGAGGGTTGAAAACTTTGAGGTTTATGTCGTAGAGTTCAACCTGTCAGGGCTGGGGTTAGGAATCATGGGACCCAAGTCGGTTGAAGCAGTGAGGGATAGTTAGGGTCCTACACCGGATGAGGCAGGCGAAAGATCCGGCTATGAACAATCTTACCGGTGCATTTTGCTATGAACTCGTTCGGGCGAAAAACCACTGAATTCGCCCGAAATCATGCATCAGACCGTCCACAAGCCCTCCTGACCCCTTTGCGCCCTGAAGCCCTACATCCAAAAACGCATGCTGCCCTGCTCACACCTTACTTCCCCGACTGCAGGCTGGCCTAAACCCTAAACCCCTAAACCCTAAACCCCATTGACCTCGCCTGGCATGTCCGAGTTGTGAGAGCGTAAACCCTAAACCCCTAAACCCTAAACCCCTAAACCCCTACGCCCGAACCCCTAAACCCTAAACCCCTAAACCCCTAAACCCTAAACCCCTAAACACTAAACTCTAAAGCTTGATGCTTGTGGGATGCAGCCACAGGGTCTCATGTACAGATCTGGGGGGGACCGAAGACCGGTCGCCTCTTGCCGTCCCTGGACATAAACCGTCATGACAGCCCTTGTTCCAAACACATGTCAAAACATAGAGACTAATGTAAATCACATCAAAGATACTGTGTTATATTTTGCTAAAAATAGTAGTATGTAATGCATGCTATCAATGACTAGCAACCGTACTCTACGACAGTCAACACGCTGAGCGCTTTGGAGGACTTGAAAGGGTAATCGTGATGCGCCGGTATGTAGTTCAAGGGTTCTTGTTGAGGATTCAGGTAAGTTCAGGATGTCAGAGTCAGGGTTTCTTAGACCACTTCCTACGTTGGGCTTCAGGGTTGCAGCGCGTCCAGTCGATGTTTTCCATCCATGCGGCGGAGCATTGCTGTCACCCGCGGCCCAGACTACACCGTCGTGAGGCCCTGGGAGCCTGCATGGCAGCATACGCCTGATGTGTAAAGGAGTACCCTGATGTCGTGAGCCTCAAAGCCCAACCCAAGACTCTAACCCTGAACCAAAGCCCTAAACTTGCTAATCTTAAAGCTCGAAACCCTTAAACCGCAAACCCTACATGCCTTAGGGGCAAGCACTTCGATCGGACAGCCTGAGCCAAGAACCCCGGAAGGATCTAGAAAGCATAGAACGTAACTTGCGGACCCTATACTTCCACAGGGGTACGGTTTCATGTTCTGTTCCTGGCGCTGTTTTGGTGTTTAGGGTTGAGGGTGCAGGATGGTTTTGGGGTTTTGGGCCCAGGGTGTAGAGCGGGTGGGGTTTAGGGGGTTGTCTTTGCTGCGTGCCTTTGATACCCGTAGCCCGTCAGGTTGTCTGGGGCTGATTTAATTTCTCTCAGGGTTGAGGTTTGGCGGTTTCCTTTTGAGTTTTGGAGGGCTTAAAGCTTGAATGGAGGTGTACCCGAAACGTACGTAACCGGGGAAGTGTCATTCTAAACTTCATACCTAGGCCTCCAAATCCGAAATCCGGCACTCCAAACCTAGGCCCCCAGCCCAATCATTGGGGTCAGGCCGAGGCGAGCAAACGAGCTTGTGAAGGTGTAGCCTCGCTGCAAGAAGACAGTGATTGAATATGGCGAGCTTCAAGGTTGTCTTGGGAGGAGATTTAGGTTTTAGGGCTTATCGGATTGTGGCCTAGGTTTCTAGGGTTTAGGAGATTTTGGGAGTTTAGGCTGCAGGGGCTCAATGCTCTCTGGAATCTCCCTGGAGGGGGTCTTTTGCCATCGCCACGTCCGCCATGTGATCTCTGGGGTTTAGGGCTTAGCGCGAGCCAGTTGCAAAAGGGCTTCGCGCTGAGCAGAGCAGGGTGTAATCGTACAGTTTGGTATCGTTTTTGGATGGTCCAGGGAAACAGTATGTCAACCATCAGACCTGCCTGAGGATCATATGGGAGCCGTTTTATGTACCCCTCGAAATCCATTCCTCAAGGCTTATTCTTTCGACGTACCATACTTCCTGCCCGTTCCACAGCCAGCAGAGGTTGGAGTTGAACCTTATCCCTAAACCCCCAAAAGCAGGTAAAATACTGGCCAAAAGCCCCTAAAAGGCTAATATTCTACATACTTTTGGAGTCCAGGTAAACCCTAAACCGTAAGTCCCAAAGTTCCCGAAACATCGGTCGAAAGGCCGCTTGGAACTTCCGCAGCTGTATCATGCCGGGGGGGGGGAGGGACTGTTCCTTATAGAACATATCGGGTTCGGTATAGCTGTGCTGCAATATATCCCCCAAAAAACCACTCTGTTTTTTTCACTCCACTTTCCTAATTAGTTCTGTTCCCTACGCCCTGACCCTAAGACTTAAACTCCAGACCAAACGGGCTTAGGGGTGTCAGGGTTTAGGGGAGGGGCTCTCGGTTCGGTGCGCGCCGTCCCTCCTTTGTATATGGATGAGGCATTTAGGGACGTAGCTCGGATGCAAAGCAAGGACTCAGGACTTTTTACGTTTACAGCCCTGTAGTCGCGGACTGCAGCTTGATCCAGATTTGGTATGGGATTTCTGTGAGAGCTTTTTTCTCCCGGTTTTGACTTAATTAACTTCTTGATCCGGCAACTTCTTTTAGTGCGAGTTTCTGAGAATTACGGATATGCAGGCCCTATAGGTGTCCTTGAAGCAAAGGTCCTTGAACGGACTGCATACGCAGTCCGCGGAGTTCGGCAAATTTCAGCTGAGAAGCCTAAGTCGACCACGACCTGAAACCCTAAACCCCAAACCCTAACCTGAAACCCTAAACTATAATCCCTAACCTGAACCCCTAAACCCTAAACCCTAAACCCTAAACCCTAACCTGAAACCCTAAACTATAATCCCTAACCTGAACCCCTAAACCCTAAACCCTAAACCCCAACCTGAAACCCTAAACTATAATCCCTAACCTGAACCCCTAAACCCTATAAACCCTAAACCCTAACCTGAACCCCTAAGCCCAGAAGGCGAGCAAGCCGAATCACCACAAGGCTCTCCTGCTCAAGGTTTCCTGTGACTTCCCAGCAGCAGGGCCCTTCAACCCTAAAGGCGTCACAAGCCGCAAAGCCCTAAAAAACCGGTTTGGGGTTTAGCAAAAAGGAATCTTCCAGAACCGTATAGAAGCCAAAAGCGGGGCTGAGCTCAGAGCCATGGACGAGGCAGAAGAGAGCAGTCTGATGCCCGAAAGCAAAATCACCCGGGACTGCATCTGGGACACCCTGACGAACTGGGCAAAAGCGACGCCACACTGGCAGCACATACGCGACAGCACCATAGACACCAAAGACGTGCAGACGCACATCTCCAGCGATGTGCGGTTCATAGACGATGCGAAGATCCCTGCGATCACAGCTCCGAGAGAGGAGGAAGCCCCAAAGGCTGAAGAGCTCAGCGCAGAGAAGCCGCTGACCGTCGAAATGCTGTCGGGCCAGGCGGTGCAGATCAAAGTACCAGCCCCTTACACAGTTGCCCAAGTGAAGCAGCGTCTGGAGACCTGCCTTGGAATTCCGGCCTTCCTGCAGGCGCTTATTTCCGGTGCTGAAGAACTCCCGGACGAGGCTGTGGTGACTGGGGATTCCGTGGCTTTTCTGCGCCGGGAGCCGCCCATGATTGAGGCGGAGGACTTCCTGCGTAGCATCGTCGCCACATCTTGGGAACGCCGGAGCATCTTTTATAGGTGGCACGCCTTCGACACCTACATGCAGTTCCCGGACTCTGAGCCGGAGCTCTTGGAGTGGGTGCTGTCTCACCGTAAGATGAAGAATGTGCCCCTGTCAGCGGCTAGCATGCTGGAAGCCCTCGATGTCTGGCTAGAGGACAATGGTAAAGCAGGAGCACATCCCGAAGCCTTCAAGGAAGATGTGGAGAAGGTCGCTGCATTCATGTGCCATTGCTGCTACAGCCCATCTTTGCTGGTGGTCTACAATGGACCGTTTGCCCATGAGTATGACTTAGGGTATGTTCTCTTCGTCGTCGGCAGGCTCAGAAGTGAGCCACAGACGTTCGTAGTACAAAGCTTCCTCCTAAAGTGCCGGATCTGAAACAAAGAGCTCTGGGACTCCGGGGGAGTTTAGGCCAGACGTGAGCCCCCGTAGTTTTAAAGACGGGTCTTCGGAATTCGCGTGGCTCATAACTGCTATTCCTTCGGGATCCTTGTTATAATTATACTATAAGGGGACCCACAAACTTATTCTGATTCTAATGATGAAGGCCCCTATACACTAGGCTTATACTGAGTAGCCGACAAATCTCTTCAGGATGTCGGGCTGAGGGTGTGTTCAGGGTTCAACTTTGGGGCCTCTGGGGCCTCTCCTCTTTGCAAGCACTGTGGGGCAGCAGTGAGTAATGTAGATCTGCGAGTTTTGATCCATGCTCAAATCCAAGGTGAGTTGGATTACTAGGCTAATTGATGATGGAGTTTCCTCAGGAATTACCTGTTCTATTGCTTGGGGCTTAGGGGCTGCATGTTAGGAATAAATTGGAACATTACCCCAAACCCTAGTCTAATGTTTTGGTTTGACTGTAGGTTGATTTGGGAACCGGGTGTTTGCCACTCAGGCACTGCAACATCTTGGGAGTAGCTGATTAGTTGTAGCTCTGACATAGGTTTCAAGTGGTTTGCTAGGTTTTGTAAAGGTATGTTCCGGCATCGTTGGTGCTTCAGGAGTGAGTACTTTTCCCTTTGCCGACTGTGTACCAAGAGCCTCGATCGTTTGCCGAATCCGAACGCGCGAGCGCAAACCCCAGAACCCCACACCCCGGCTTTGGACGCACCTCAGGCTCAACGACCACGCGGTTGATCTGGGTCAAAGCCAGCCTACCAGGCTGTCCTGCGTTCAGGGTTGTGTTGTTTTTTTAGGGCCTCAGGTTGTGAGTTTAAAGGCGTCAGGTCGCGTAAAATTTGGGGGGGGGGTTGAGTTAGAGTTAGGCACCCGCAGATATAGAGCAGTGAGCAGTAAAGGCAGGAGCAGTTTTCAAATCAGATACCTGGTGCTAAAAAGTCAGCCTGATAGCGGCTGCGAGCTAGGGCAGCTAGGGCTTGTGATTGTTGATTCCCTTGTCCTTGTCTGAACATGGGAGTTTCATTAACCAGAAGAGAAGGCATCGACCCTAAACAGCAAGATTTGCAAAATCCCTATCAGAAGGACCCCCGAAACGGATACCCCTACTAGTTAAGCAACCCCCCACGCATTTCTAGGGCTGGTTTAGCCGGAAACCCTACTGCCAATAAGAGCCTGGTATCCTCTAAGCTTCGGAAAGCCAACGGAATCAAAGCTCACCACTCCCGGCAAGAGAACCAAACACCAGCAAACAACTGACACAATTCCGTAAACACACACACCACAAGCTCCATCTCCCAGATCCAGGTCCGAAGCCTGCCACCTACAGCTTCAATCCGAGTCCGAAGGCTTAAATTAAGCCCCAGGCTGTTCCACCACCTCAAAAAATCCCACCGAGCCAAAACCTACGATCCCAACCGCAACCCCCCGAACCCTAAACCCTAAAGCCCTTCACCCTATAGAACCCAGAAAAACCCTAAACCTCCCAGGGGCTTGCCTCCCGGAGTCCAAAGCCTCTACGACTTCATCCAATCGGGCGCCGCCTGCCTGGTCTTGAGCCCCGGAGTACAAAAAGGCCTTTTTTTGTTGTGATTCTCGCTGCTAGACCGGAGCAGTAGAGGCGGTAGCCCTGGAGTCGGTAAGACATAGCTATAAAAATACAACCAATACATAAATACATACACACACATATATATATAGATATGCACATCTGTATATTCCAAAGGTTAGCCTCTAGTTCCTCCAGGACAAGTAAGACATGGAGTAAGAACGTGATATGGTTTAGGGTTTTGGCTTTGGGGCAATAGAGTAGAATAGAGTAGATTTCTCAACATATCGGGTCTTCTGGTTGCTACTGGTAGGGTTTAGGCTGCTAGAATAATCGAGCAGAGCCGAAGGTAATCGAATGTCATCAAAACGGGCACTCAGCCTTGGCGGAAGGGGCTTTTGGGGTTCGAAAGCCGAAGGAATAGAGGAAACCCGAAACCCCACCAGGGTTGAAGTGCCTGGCCTTTTCAGAGCTTCGCAGGAGTGGAACATTGCAACACTAGGCCCACAACCCCCAAACTTCTAAACCCCTAATCGCGACACCCCTACACACCGCAGGATGCCCGAAATCCGTAGATCTGCACAGGAGGAGGCACGCCTCAGATGGGTTCTGAACAAGTAAGTAGCCCTTTGAGCCTAAGATTCCCCCCACCCCGGCTACAACCAAGCTACTGTCATTCTGGGCACTGGGGCCTCCCTCCAGACGGACGTGATTCTACATAGGAGTGTAACAGAACCCTAGGCCTTGTTGAGTCCTGTACTCCATATAAACAACCAACATCATGAGCTGTCGGGGTTGGCCCCCCTAAACCCCATGCCTCCAAAAGCCAAAAAGCCCTAAGCCCTGACACCCAAAGCACTATACCCCTAAAGCCTGCCAGCCCAAAGCCCTGAGGCCCAAAAAAGATTTCAAACCGAAGGCCCAGGCCCCGAAATCATAACGCCCTAAACCAAAAAAAACACTGCCCGAAACCCTCCCTAAACCCTAAACCCTAAAAGCTACACCCTAAAAGCATCCCCCCACCCCCCCCCCCCGAACGCCCCATCATCTGCGAGGGCTTTGCTTTGACCGAGGAAGCCTCGAGAGTCTGAAGAGACCAGCTCTGACGATGAGGACGTGCATTATCTCTCTTTTTTTTAGGGCTTATAGGGTTTAGGGTTATATTATCTTATCCAGGTGTAGTGCTTCATGTTTTTTAGGGCTTAGGGTTTAGGGTTATATTATACTCTCCAGGTGTAAAATACGATTTTAGTGTTTAGGGCTTAGGGTTTTATATTATGTACACGATCCAGTGATGACACTATTTTTTGAGGCTTCAGAGTTAAGAAGGGCTCCTTGAATGAAGTCTCGATAAGGGCTTTACATCATACAGTTGCGCTATGACTATGTTTGAGGTTTAAGGGCCATTTATCACAAAAGCTACACCATTTTTGATGCCTACGAGTCAAGAGCTCCTGGAAGGTGTCTATAGAGGGTCTGATATACGCATTTTGCTATAGATGTCTGAATACTTGGTATGAGTGTCCCCTCGTAGTCCTGGAGCCATGGCACAACAAATGGCTATCACCCTGCCGTGCCTCCTGGCGTCTTGGATATGGGCTTGCAAGTTGCCGGCCGAGCATCGTGATTCCTCACGAGGCCGTAGGGTTTAGGGTTTAGGGCGAGCTCTGCTTTGAGATGCTTGGGATACCTGGCATTGGCTCGCTGAAGCTGGAAGAGCACCTGGCGGGCTTCAACGATTTCGCCAGTGCCACGATTGTGCTGAACCCTAAACCCTGAACCCTAAACCCTGAACCCTAAACCCTAAACCCCTGAACCCTAAACCCTAAACCAAGAATTACACAAGCTGAAATGGTTTTCAGACCCCAGTTGGTTGAAAGAGATGCGTAAGCTGCTCACCGCTTTCGACTCACTCCTCGCTGACTGTTGCTCAGTGCTGGCTGGGAACCCTTTTTGCTTTTCTGTTTGGGTTTCCTCATGGCTCATAAACAGGATCTCCTTTTCTTCCCCTCCTAACACGTTCTGATGGTGTTTTCGATCGTACGGAAGATGTTTCCGCGGAAGATGTACAATGCTCTATACTCAGACGGATGCAATTGACTATGACATGTTCGGGGATGACGGTGATAAGCAGCACCCCCTAGAATCAAAAGCTGCATGATCAAAGCAACGACATTGAAATGACAGTGTGTCTTCAAATTTCGGGCTCAAACCCTTAGCTATCTATCTGGAAGTCCGTCAAATGTCAAAAACGACTCCAGCAACTTTTAACACTACCTACAATCCGAAGCCCTTAACGCCCCACCCAACAACATTTCTAAATGGACAGTCGCAGAACTTGTGCGCGCGGCCAGGACGACGAGGAGGCGAAGGAAGAGGAGTACGACCTTTGCCTCCTCAGCCACAGGGTGGCGCAGACGCATGAAAATGTTTTGGGATCCGGGCTACAGCCGTTGACAGAGAGAAAGATGAGCGCAAACCTGCGAGCCAGCAGACGGGGAGGGAGGGAGGGCGGGCAGGAGGGAGGTCGCACAGGTGAGTTTCAGAGCATGCTGTAGGAAAAATGGCTATGTTCGTATTAGAATTGTCGCGGACGCTGTGGTTTTGCTGTTGTCATTATTGGCATCTTGTCTTTTGTTTTCTGGAAACTGCGTTGGAGTATTTCCGAAGCTCCAAGCTAAGTCGAAATCCTGAATCCAAAACTCTCGTTTGTAAGCTAATGAGACAGCTATGTCATAGTCTTCGCAATCGTAAACCCGGGGCCACGCAGCTCTGAACTGCCTAAATGCTATGTAAAGTACGACGAAGCCGACAGCCCTGCAGCCGCCGTTGAGCGAGTCTTGAACATTCCAGCCCAGGAAGCCTGTTGCAACTTTGGTTCGCCTTCAACTGCCAAGCCCTGGACCCTAGAGGGAGCTACAGCAGGGACAGCAAGGCCCCCCCCCCCCGAGAGAACTGGTCTGCACCCAAATTATCAGGTCATGCTGAAGCTATCTCTGTCAGCGAGTGACTGCCTAAATTAGGACTACTTCCTCGAAACACGTGGTCTTTCACTTTCAAAGCAAGGGTGAAACGCCTCGCAGCTCTGAGCCGGGTTGGTGAAATCCCAATGCACGAAGCTTGCGACTTGCAAGGCTTATCTTCACTGGCAGCTAGGCTCCAAGGACTCTCTGGGCCTGTCCTCCTTCGTGATAGGGTTCCGATGTGACGTATGCAACGGTGATGACATTGGCAATGAGGAGTGCTACAACGATAACGACGATGATGATGAAGACATTTCTGCTGATGGTGATGGAAGTTCTGCTCTTGCTGATGAAAATTTCCTATCTGAACGGCCTTGTCATGGCGATTCCGCACCTGTCTCACTGCATCACATTCCCACGGTCATGACGACAACACGAAGGCTGAAGCCGACAGGCCGTTAAGGAATGTG